TGGAATTGGTATTTTCTATATACTTGTCTTGGAATGGTTCAATGTGACGGTCTGCATTGAGCATGGAGTTGAATATTAATTGTTCTGTAATTCATCTTGCTTGATGTCCACTGAGGCTTGTCCAGTTAATGTTACTTCCATGAGTTTTTATGTTGTAAAGTACTGGGATCGTAAAATGGTATAACTTTAATTGGTATTTTTTTTTTTAATATGTTTGTGTTGTATGCCATCTAAAGTGTTTTGACATTGCAGCCTGATCGTGTCATGGAATTCTGCAATAACAATGATCTTCAGTTGATTGTGCGTGCACATGAATGTGTAATGGATGGATTTGAGCGTTTTGCCCAGGGGCATCTGATTACACTTTTCTCTGCTACCAATTATTGTGGTATGTACTTGTCCCCTTTTCTGTTTATGGAGCTTTGAGCGCTTCAATAGACATCTCAGGTTTGGCCCTTACCACTGTCAGCCAAACATCCCATGTTTACTCTTATACTCTCAACAGGTACGGCCAATAATGCCGGGGCAATCCTAGTCTTGGGTAGGGATCTTGTTGTGGTTCCGAAACTCATTCATCCCTTACCACCAGCAATTTCATCACCAGAAACTTCACCGGAACGCCATATTGAAGATACATGGATGCAGGTACTGATGTTTATTTCTACACTTCGTGTTTAAATTTATGGTTATAACTTGTAACTCAAAAATGAATGTATGTATGTGCATACTCTTACTGGAGAGATTTTGCTACCCCTTCCCCATCGGGACATATAGTCATTGTTTTGATAATAATCTTTATTTGAATTGGCTTGGTATGAAACCAGGAGTTGAATGCAAACAGACCTCCAACACCGACTAGAGGCCGTCCCCAAGGAGCTAATGATCGGGGTTCCCTTGCTTGGATATAGTTGATTAGTCTGAATTGCTTCGTCAGATTCATTCTGGCCTTGTTCTTCCAGATGGGATTTCTAGGGCTGTATAGAGCATGATGTCAAATACAAGAAGTTCCCCCGTTCTTCCACATGGGGTTTCTCATAGTGTATAGAGCATGATGCCATATACAAGAAGTTCCAAAACTTGTGATCTATTTTCCAGGTAACAAGTTTGAAGGCATTCTGAAATTTTGGTTTACTTTACATAATTGGTAGGCCATGAGATGATGAGAAGACACAAAGTCGAAGAAGTAGGTTGTGGTTGGCGGGTAGGTTTCACTTTTGTATGATGTGCTAAAATGTTGGAGTTTGGGTCAACCCGCCCTTTGTAAATTGAGCTACAGGCAGGTAGAAGTCAGTATTCGTTCTTCCCGTGGATTGGTAGTGCCGAGTATTCTTCTGATTAGTTGATATATTGTTTATTCCTCGTTGTAGGCGTATTAATTTCCCTTTGAAGAGGACAGGGGGTCAATTTGTGGTGGTGAGATATATAAAATGTTTAGAATCTTTGTGAGCGTCCTTCCGCCGGTCCGTGATTGTATCATAGAGGTATTGCTTTGTGTAATATTTCTTCTTTGTTTTGTACGATGTAACATTGTGTGAAGATAAGTAACAGTTTTTTGATCCGACACATCCATTTGTGAAGTTCTCGTCGTAAAATGTTGTTTATCTTTATGCTGAAAGGAACTAAACCTCTTGCTCTTGGATGTTGTATCTTTGTAGTTTATTTTCCCGACGATCTCCAAGTGCAGTCGCATAAATTCTAGAGTACCACTACGCTAGGTTTTGCCAAGTCTTCTATTAGTTTCAAGTACTTTATATCTTTTCTTATTGTCTCGTTACAATTCTTAGGTTTTCCCATGCATCTTTTGCCTTGAGTCTTCATCTCATAGTAGCATCTGTAGGTTTTCGGTTCACGTGTTCAAGCCAATTTAACCAAATTTTTTTCATCTTATCTTCAATTGAGGCGACTTCTATTTTACCTCAGATATTCTATCCTTTTTCGTGTGCCTACACATCCAATGAAGCATTCTCATCTCTTCTACACATTTTTTACCACCCAACATTTTGTGCCATAAAGAATTGCTGGTCTTATTGTCGTTTTATAAAATTTTCTCTTGAGCTTTAGTGGCATGATGATCGCACGATACACCTTATACTCTTCCTGTGGTCTCAACAGTTATCTACCGAAATTGTTCACTCTTCAACAACTATCTGCCAAAAGCTTAAAAAGTTTTAGCAAGCAACTATCGAAGTTGTGCATACTTCTCAGCAGAGTCCAACCAAAGAGGAAATAATAAATGAATAATGCAATTATCTGCAGGTATGCTCCGATATATTTCACCTCTTCAGTAGAGAGTAGAGAACTAACGAAATATTGACAACTTTTCGATAGTCTTACCAAAAAAATTATCGGAATTTAGGGTTACACAAATAGTAAGACATGGTTCAAACTAATGCAACATGAAAAAGAAAAAAAAAAAAAATTAAATCAAACATCATGTGGAGCCGCCAAACAATCGATTTCATGTTACATTCTTCACAATAAGCTTTTTTTTTTTTTTTTAATTGGTATGTTTGTCTCGTTAGTCATTAAGACAAGAAGCAATAACACTATCGTAAATAAGTAAAAATTTTAAAAATTATAACATTGTAAACAAATTAATCAACCGGTTCAACTAGTGTTGGGTTCGAAATTCGGATTAGGATTTCTCCTCTTCTCTTTCCATCTCTTTTCCTCCCCTCTTCTCATATTTTCTATTTTGTCTTTCTCTTTCCATATAAAATTAATATAAGATGTTGACGTGACTTAATCATGACTGTCAAATAGGAGGGGAGGGAAGGGGAGGGGAAAAAAAAGGGAAGAGAATCCTACTCCTTGAAACTCATGCAAGTTAGTTAAAAAAGGACTTTTAGTTGTTATGGGAGTTGATACAAAATAAACCAAATGAAAACATCAGATAAGATTAAACATGGGTGTGTAGGAGGATAAAAATAGAGTAGTGTTATTCATGCACCCATTTTTATTTCTAACACACCCTTATTAATTTTTGTCCATTGATCTTCTGTAATTCATTTGATTCAACGGTCGGAAATTAAGAGGGGTGTACAGATAGCATCACCCGCAAAATATGTCTATCATTTTTCATTTGTTATATGATTTTTTTTTGTAATTTTTTTATTAACATTTTTTGAACAATAAGATATTTACACTGAAAAGGTAAGGGGACAAATTGGTATCGAACACATGACATCCAAACTTAAGGCCTCCCACCGGTGGCAGAGCCCTAAGTTAATTGTTAGGGGGGTGAAATTTTTTTCTTAAAAACGATTACAGTAGAGACTCGCTATCAAAGAGAAGGTTTTGAAGGCGTGCACACATATAAGCCAACTTTTAAGTTCAGCTTCTCGTATTTGTATGCTTAGTAAACATACACTTGGGACTTCACACGTGTTATTTTCATTGTTTATTGAATAATGCTATTCATACCATATTTTTATACCACATTTCTATACCACATTAAGTGACATCTGATGTGGACAGCCACAACGTTTGAAAAATTTGCAAAACCCAAGGAAAGAAAGAGAAAGACTTCTTGTATACCGCAATCATCATTTAATTAACTAGTTTTTCTTAATTATTAGTTTATTAAATAATGAACTAAATTTAAAAATCTGATTAATTTAAATGATGTGGGTAGACATATTAAATGCCACCTAAGGAGGTATAAAAATATGGTACAAAAACTTAGTATGACTAGCATTACTTTTGTTTAGTAATATCAAATGCTCAAATTAAACACAGATTTGTTAATAGACAGGCAATTGATATTAATAAACAATGAAATATATATAAAATGAACCAATATGTATAGAAAGAAGAAACAGTCTTTTAAGAAACAATAAAACACAAATATATAAAATGAACAAAAGTGTTTTAATCTAACAAATATATCATTTGACCTAGACAAAAGGTGTTTTGATTTTTTTGCAGTTAAGTCTTGAATTTAGTTGGTGGAAAAGTAAGTTATTGGGGTTGAAGACATCAAATATACCCACCCTGACATTTTCTTCACACAAGAAAAAAAAAAAAATAGAATTATGCCTCTGATTTCAAAGATTTTCAAGACATTAAGGCCCCTATCAAAATCTTTTCCTTTTCCTTCACTAGGTTCGATTTAGAGTTGGTGGTTGTTATGTAGTTAAACAGCGTTATTGTGAGTTTTGGGGGACTCAAATGATTAGAAGAGGGAGAGAGAAAGTAGGCGAGAGAACTTCCTTCATTCTTTCTTAAAAGGACTTTTATTTTGAATCTAAGTCATGATACTAGGCATGGGATCAAAGTTGGGTTGAGGGAGACGATGACAAGAGCGACGTCATACCAAACTCAAATGATGATGGTCGGTAACTCAGAACATAGCATATCTTTATTTTTCCTAGATAAGAGAAGTGTTTTAGGATGAGACTTTTGGGCCGTCCTGAGTTAAAATTTTGGCTATGCCACCCTCTCTTTGCTATTGCCTCACACTTACAAATAAAAAAAAATACTATTAGACCATAATAATAATTGACAATTAACTTTTGATTAAGAGACTCGACATTTTTTTAAGAGGACCCATTTCTTTTCCCGCACAAAGACCTAAATAATCTCAAGATTGGTCCTGGTGGCAGTTTGACACATTGGTTTGTTTAATACACAAGTTTGTTGACACTAAAAGTATTGTATGCATGATGTATATACAAGAAAGAGATACATAACTATATTGGTTAGAGCATATGTGCTCTTTTTTATGCATTTGAATTCAAATTGCTCCTCTTAAGTTTACAATTAGTTAAAAAAATACCACGTGTATAAAAAAAGAAAAGTTTAGCTAGATAATTTACTTCTCAGTTTAATATCGAGTAAACGTATTTAACTTGTTTTAAGGTATAGGTTTAGCATATGCCGATATAATTTAGTGGGATCCATCACAGTCATACGAATAACCTAAACCCAAACAACAGAAAGCACATATCAAGAGTAATAGATCATGATGTTCCCAAAATAAACACCAATTCCGGAAGACAAGACCGAAATTAAAATCTCATTGGCTTATAGGGTTTACAAAAGTAAAGAAAGAAGAAACACAAATCATAATGCATAGACAGACAAGACAGTCCAACACAAAGTCAAAGATGAGGCTAAGATTTTATTTTAGCTACTATAACAGAGGGATATATTATATATATATATATATATATATATATATCATATATATGATACGCACTGATGAAATCTGCCCTCTCTTTCTCTGAGATCATACGTAGTTTGATCTTCTGAACCAAAGCTTTCTCTCCCTCTTATGTTTTTTTTTTTTTATATATTTTTTTAGTACATAAACCCTAAAGAATGGAGGGGATCAGAAAACGAAGGATGGATCAATCGAGTAGATTAATAATGGGTAGTGAGTAGTAAAGGATGTGGATTAACACTTGGGTTACGAGGATTTGGATAATCAAGAGGTGGCAATGCAATAAGGCTCCCTAAATAGAAGAGATCTTATTCTAGGCTCTTTGCAACCCTTTGAAAAGGGAACCAATTGATCCCCTTTGTTCCCTCTCAAAACCAGCAATTGTTGCTGCTCATTTGCCAACTGATTCTGGGACATAAAGCCATTACTTTTGAGGGACTGCGACATTGGCGGCGGAAGAGGTTTGAGAGCGGCAGTTGTTGTGCGATTGGTGCGCCAATGGTACTCGTAAGCGTTGAAAGAGGTTGCTGCTGCTGCTGTTTTTGTGGTAGCCGGTGGCTTAGGTATCATACGAGCCACACGACCAGGCAGTGGAGGGAGTGACCTTGAAATTGGGGGTGGTTCAACCGCTTCGACCTCCTCTTCAACCCCTCCATATTTCACTACTTCATTGAACTTGTTAGTCCACCCATGAGCCTTATTGTCTAACCCAATTGGCTTATTCATCATTAGTGCTAACCTGTGAACATTTGTCACTCTACTTGTTAGTATTCTTGGTGCTTCCTCCATCACAATTTCTATTCTTCTGATTCCATTTTCTTTTCTTGCTTTCTCAACCTCATCACTTTCTTCCTCCTCATCCTCATCAACATCATCACCATCACTTTTTTCGCTTTCTTTTTCCTTCTCTCCTTCCTCAAAGTTCACATTTTCATCAAATTCTTGCTCTCTAGTCTTCTCTTCTTCATTAGCAACCTCTTCACACTTAGGCACCTCGCAAGAGCTCGAAGTAGCATTGAGAAATGTGAGGACAAGGCGACCATCTTGGCGTTGAGCACGGAAGTTGTTCAGGGAAGGCATAGACACCGCTTCAAGGACTAGTCGCCCATTGTCGCGACGAGTCCTCATGCAAACAGATTCCCCGTCATATCCTGATAAAGACGGAAGAGGTGGAGGGAAAGATCGAACGGAAGGCAATTTCTTACTAGCAGCAGAGTTGTACTTGACAAACCGAAATTCATTCCCATCAAATGCTTGTGACAGCTGAGGCTTCTCTTTTTCTTCTTCTTGTTGTTGAACTGCGGCTTGCTCTTCTTCCGGGTCTTTCTCCACTATTTCTACGTCACCGGTCTCCGAAGTAGGGTATGAAGCAAACCCTTCAGAGCCAGTCTCGGATCCGAGACTTTCAGTGCAGACTTCAAGACTCTTTTTTGTCAAAGAGCTCGATTGTTTCTTCACAAGAGGATGAACATAAGGTGCCGCTTTGCTCGCCTCTTCTTCGTTGGCCTTTTGACATACAATCGAGCTCCAAAGATCGGCTTGTCCCGGCTGCTGCTTTGCAGCCTCGGCTTTGTTTTTTTGCTTCTGAGCTTGCTCATCAATTGAGCTCCAAATATGGAATTTGGCCTTGCCTTGATCTTGGTAATGATCTACATCTTCGGACGATGAAGATGAGTCGTCCCGAATGTTTACGGAGACACAGAGTTCTTCGGATGACGCAATCTTCTTCATGGGAGAGAAGCCGTGTTGAGACAGCCATCTTTTGGACGACATGTCCGCGGACAGTGTTCGTCGCAAGGAAGCGGCTTTGGTTCTTTCAGAGTCGGACGGGCCGAGAATGGTGACGATCCCTCGCTTCTCAGTGACCACTTCTTGCTCCATATTCTTCTTCATGAAATGAGAAGATGGCGAGCTAGTTAGGCTTTTGCTGAGAGAACCCATCTTACTGAATCAGCTTAAGATTCGAAGTAGCTTGCGCGAGTGCTAGCTGCGTAAATAGATAGATAGAAGAAACAAGAGAAAAATCAGAAAAACAAGTTGCTGAAGGCTGCAACAAAATTTCAAGTTACAAAGCAAATTAATATGGTTTGTTATATGCATGCATGTGAATAAGAAAATACAAAACCAGCTAAGCTAGCTGTTTAATTTACCTGATGAGAGATTCAGAGAAAGAAAGCATCCAACAGAGGTCTCTGGTGTAAAGAGAGACCACTGAAGGAGTGAAGGGTTGCGAGAGCTGCAGAAAATAATAGTAGAGAGAGAGAGAGAGAGGGGATGAGAGAGAGAGAGAGAGAGAGAGAGAGAGAGAGAGAGAGGATGATGAAGGTGATGTTTGAGGAGTAGTGGGTGATGATGGCAAAGCAGGGAGGGGGAATGTGGGTATTTGTAGGGTGCCAAAAAGGCTTTGGAACCGTGTGCATTGGGACCCGCCTACACCACCCATGAAAAGGCCCTTCCGCATTTGGTTTCCAGTTTTTTCCTTATCTAACTGAAGGGTAATGTTAAGGAAATCATATATTTACACTATATTTTATAAATAATATAACTCATTTGTTGATGATTGAATTATTACTTAAATAATAATTAACGCGTTCATTTTTTATTAGTAACACATCACATGATTTGCAAATGTAGTATAAAAAATTAGTCTATCTTATATTACTCTATCAGAAAAATAGGTTGGATTAAAGAAAGAATAGTGAGGGGGTGAGAGAGAGAGAAAGAGACAGAGTTTGAATTTCAAAAGGATGGCCTCAATTTGGTTCTTTATTAGCTCTCCCTCGTCAAGATTATTTTTTTCTCAAAATTAACCAAGCTGAACGCGTCTAATAACCATTTCGTTTTCAGTTTTTGATTTTTATATTTTAGTTTTATCCTTCTAAAAAAATATACTATTTAGAATCACAAACTAATCATGTTGTTGATATACACTTTATTAAGTAAGTCGTAAAACATAAGTCCTACTATTGTATGTGAGGATCATTTGTGTAAGAGGCACTGTCAGTAATGTAGTTAATTTTGTATAGCTAAACAATATTACTCATAAATACAAAAATCCTCTGTAAAATAATCCATGGTATCATTTCAACTGATTATGTTCATACAATATTTAAAAAAAGTGATGGTACACATTTTAAATTTGGATGATATTAAGTATAGGAACGCGCAAGTCCCGACCAGTTAGTGATTCAATATGGCGTTAACTATGCATTTGAGCCCAATCGACAATATTTTTTCACAATCTAGACAGTTCATATTTAAAATCTTTATTCACGAATGATTCTTACAAAATTTTATATAGATAATACAGTGTCGCCGAAAATACAATTAAATTTTCACTGTAATAATCAAATGGCTAAATAATTTTTTATTTGAACGAAATTTTGTATGGATGATATATGAATAAAGATATAAAAACTTAATTGCCAGATCCTTAAAAAATATTGTAGAGTGAACTTAAATGCATGATTAGTGACATATTAAGTTACTAGCTAGTGAGCCCTAATATAAACATGGAGTAGAATTCTCTCCTCTCTTATTCCTATCTCCTTCCTTCCTCTTCTCTCACATATTGCTTTTTGTCTTATTGTCTTTATAAAAAAATAATATAAAATATTAACTTAACTTAACTGTAACCATTTAAGTGGAAACAAAGGAAAAATGTTTATGAGGAGAGATAATCCTGCTCCTATAAGCATGTACCGAGACTCACTCATGCCCATTACCCATTTATGGAAAGACGAGAAAGCTGTCCTTCTCTTAGAAGGGTGACCTCGCCATAAGAGACATTCATCAAAATTATCACTTTAGTTGGATGCCATTTTCTGTACAGTTGGCCAATTATTTCTAGAAAGGATGGTCTCACTTACTGTGTGTTTGCCTGCGCAAGAAAATGTTCGGAATTTGCAAATGCAAGGAGTAATTTAGCTTATAGAAATAAAGGAACTTCCAAGTTTGGCGAAATAAGAAACGAAATGGCTAATTATGTGATGGAAATATTTTTTTAATTTCCACATATTGAAATTTCTTAAGAATTCCATTGAAGCAGGATTAATTTTACAGTTCTCAACCATGGGGAATTAATATTTGTTTCCAGCTTGTCAAGTCCTCTCACTAACTACTGAGTGTCTCTCCTCCTATCAGTTCTACAAAGTGACATATAGCACAAATGGTGCTCTATTGAAAAAGGAAATTGTTATTGGCACTCTAAAATTCTCATTCTACACTCCAAATATTCTATATTTAGAAAGAAAAGTACACTTGTGAGGAGTGTAGAATGAGATTTTTGGAGTGCTAATAACATCTCCCTTGAAAAATTATATAGCACAAATGGTGCTCTTATTGTAAAAGTTACAAACTCCAAAAATCTCATTCTACACTCCTCATAAGTGTATTTTTTTTTTCCAAATAGAGAAAGTTAGGAGTTCATCTTCTCTACCATAGTTGTCTCCCTTCAAAACAAAACAATGGGATCTCTAAGATCATCTCTGGGATAATCTCTGACCATCTCTCTAGTATGTTATTCTTTACAAGATTGTAACACACATACTCTCTTACTACAACACGGCCTATGCGTAGACACGTACATGGAGAACGATAATAAGCCACGCGCATGAGCTACATTTTGACTTAAGTTTGCCTCAATCATGTGCAGCTCCTACCTATGAGCCTATGACTGATCCAAGTTTATTGCATCAATTGTCCATAAGCAAGTCAACTTGGTGAAAGATGTAACATCTTATGCAATGACTTAGGCACCTAACACTAGCCAACAACGAAAATTACATATTCAGGATAGCATCCACAAACAAGTGTTGTGGGTCATTACAATCAAACGTGAGCTCTGCCCATTTGAAGGAATAAGCAAAATGGCGATCTAGAAATAATCTGATGGGTGACTCTAAACTCCGACCTTGAGTACGATTACTTCTATTTGAAACCAACGTACTAAGTCAAGTACGTTATGCGGTACCATGTGTCTTATGAAGAGACTAGGAAATCCCTAATATGGAAATTTATTTCAAAGAGCTCCGATATGTAGAAGTGCCTTAGCCAAGTTAGCTAAGTTCAGTCTAATTGAAAATGCTCAGGTCCAATGCATAAGGTCTAACAATGGATTCCAAAGATGTTTTCCGCCCACATGTAAGTGACCATGTATGTCCCTAATGAACTTTTGTTTAAGATTCATTAGGGACAGACACGCAATTTAGACTAAGAATGAAGCCATTCTTGGTGGAACGTTGCAGCAAATAAAATCCTCAAACCCGGAATAAGGCAAAGGTGAGAGAACAAACAAGATCAAACACATGCTTGAAGGAAGAAGTTTAGATTGACATTAAGGTTCGCAGATCACTCCGAACATGACTCGTCACTTTCTCATCCTTAATTTGATCAATGCGTCAAAGGCGAGTTCGGAAGTAAATGTTTTTTCATAGGTCTTAGACCTGATATTAGAGTAGGGTGGTACTACAAATGTTCCAGTGGAAATCTTTATAAACGTTGAGTTTGGAGATGACATTCCCGACTTCAATGTTATTTGGGAGGGGGGGAGGCTAGAGATGTGTCCTAGACCTAGACCTGGTATTAGAGTAGGGTGGTACTACAAATGTTCCAGTGGAAATCTTTATAAACGTTGAGTTTGGAGATGACATTCCCGACTTCAATGTTATTTGGGGGGGGGGGGGGAGGCTAGAGATGTGTCCTAGACCTACAAACTTATTTGCATATGACACTGTTACTTATTGCTTTGATGTGAGTTTACCTCAGAAAGATTGTCGAATTAAATTATGTTCCACGATAAGGAAAGAAATGATGAAAAACTCCAAGTGTTTTACTCAAATAGGCTTGATGAATTAAGTAAAATAAACTTAGCAAGATATGTCCTAGGGCATCTAAGTCTTTCTAGGAATATATGGTGCATTCCGCCTTACATCCAGCTCTTCAGCTATGCATATGGAACTCTAACCAAGGGTCTACAATATGGTTCCAAAAAAGATAAGATCCTTCAAAAATAAACAAGTAGGACTAGCATGACTTGGTTAGCTTCAAATCAAACAAGCAAGTCAAAGGTCATTATGGAATGATTCGCTCATGGTCCGTTGCTGACTGTCCATCTTCAAAGCAGAGCCCATTTTCAAAAGCATAGTTAGGAGCAATTGTTGGGTCATGACTTTTTGGGCCCATAACATGTGGCACCTTGGGTGGTCAGAATGACCGAAAAGCCCTTAGAGGTGAGATCAGACCTACATGGGTATTCTAGATCATATTACTATATGTCAGGGTAGTCTAGTGCAACCCCATTAACTCTAAGCCCATTGAAGATATAACTTGTCTTCTAAGTAAGGAAACACTAATTCAAGTCAAATAAGGATATCTTGGGGGATGTGACATAGTCATAATCCTAGGAGGATTCGTATCTTACCCTAAATTCCATCCTAGATTGTCTCTCGATTTAATTAGGATTACTCTCACTACAAGGACTCTCAAAGATTACTATAAATATCCGAGTTTGGATATTTATTAGGGAGATGGGATCATCTTCTCCACCATACTCCTCTCCCTCCAAAACACAACAATGGGATAATTGAGATCGTCTCTCTAGTATGATATTCTCTACAAGATTGCAACACACACATTTTCTCACTATGTCGTCGTCTACGTATAGACACGTTCATGGAGAACTCGTTTCTCATACCCTCTAGCATAGGCTATTCGTCAATAATGTATTCTAATTTATCACACATTATACGTACTACTTTCTTAGAACTACACTCGTGGTTTGATTCTCCTCCTCAGAGATATGTAGGCAGTTCAATTCGGATTTAACCACATCCCACAATCAACCCCATTCTTCGCTCGCTAGAGATGATGGGTAATTTTGGCTAATTCATGCCTCCATCTATGGATGTGTGCGAATTTGGTTCCAACACTATCCACCTCCTAAGATAGTGATTCATCTCGGAGCTCCTAAATGTAGGGTGAGAAAATGAGCTCCTAATGACTCTCTATAATTAATGCTAACCATGTTAATATTATTTTACATAAATAAATATTTTCTATTGATTAATTATTGACTCATAGTCATTATGACTCTCTAAAATAGGGAGTATGGTTTGAGTACAACTTTTTTAAAGAACTCCTAAAATAACTTTTTGATAGTTTTAGCTAAATTTTGCTATAAAATAGAGAGGTAGCGTGATTAGAGATGCTCTTATCATAGGATTTTTTTTTTTTTTTTGACAAGATGATAGAGTGATATTTCATTGAACTTCACAAACAATTACAAGCGTTGCCAATCAGGTACATAAGCTCCAGTGATCAAGAAATTGA